AGACCTAAATGAGCCTTAAGGGAAGATGAAATTGCTCTCCAAAAGCATCAACGAATTGATTGCAACACACACCTAAAGAATCACAAATGATAAATGATAATTTATGATAATTTATTATTATTATTTTTGAATAAAAATCAAATGATATTATAATTAATATAACTCCAAAATCAGCATATGATATGATAATCCAAATGTAAGTTCAAATAATTTAATTGAAAATAGATCTAAATGAAAATACAATGAAAATATAAATAATACATTAAGCGAGAACAAAAAATTATGAAAGGCTCATCAAGCACTTCGCTGTTTTTATATAGAAAGCCATCAATTCTAAAAGTATTATATCGAATAGGTAGATTTTGGGTAAAGATTTAGGGTACTGTTCAAGTTTAAGATTTTGATGTAAAACAGAAATAACAATCATATAAGTGCTTCAATTGAAAACAACTTGGTGACTCTAGTATTGATCATCCTATCATCAGTCATGGATCTGAGATGTAAGGCAGTACTAATACACACACAGTAAAGGACTTTTGGAAGAATGAAATCATGAGATAGCTTTAGAGATTGCATGAGATTACACAGCTCTCCTTTGCTACAAATGCGGTAGCCTTCACGCTTAAACAATTCTCTGAATTAATGGCAGAAGTGCTAGTTATTTATGCTAAGTTACCATTTTCCCTTATATGGATATATGACATTTGTGGTGATGAATGCTTCTGATTGATTAGAGTTCCCATTGTGAAATTACTGCAGCTGCATTCGCTAGTAAATATCATTGCTAATGACATTATGCTATTTCATTGAAGCTCATCAAATGATTTTCTTATCGATATCCCACCTATTCATTGATAGAAAGGTTTTAGAGCTCTCTTTCTTTTATCCATCCATTACACTACTAATGAAGCTACCTACTTTCTCATAGCTATTATTTTCCTTGCTCAACAGAGCATATTACCAATCTGTAGATTTGATCCATGAACTGAGCAATTCTATCTGTTCATGATTTAAAATATAAACATAAATTATCAATCATCTTTCCATTCTCATCAACGGTTACAAATTCAAAAAAAACTCTAGTTCACTTCATCCTCATAAAGTTTGTTGGACATCCCAAGCCACTTGTGACTAAGAACTATAATTGAACCTACTAATCTTCTTGTCCATCTCTTCATTTATTACAAGGATCTTCAAAAAGTTAATATAATTTTATGAATGACCTCCAAACATTTACACGCCATTACTGATGTTAAGTGGTTGGGATCTTCTTGTCAAATTAGTACAGATTCAACTCATTTACCACTAAGTCATTCTACTTGTTTAATTTTTACTCAAGATTATAGAAGAATGAGTCTGGAAAACAATATATCAATTTCTATTTATCATTAAAATTGTAAGCTTTAAAACCATCCAAATCAAATGCAAAATTTTGATCCAGAATTATAATTAGGTTTGAACATTTTGCATCATTCAAATACTAACCTGGTATGATTCAACATGTAATATAATTTCACTCAGAGCCATGAATTGGGCAATCCTACAAAGTAACTCGACCAAACCCTAGCCTTTTTTCGAATCTAGTTCTTTGAGATATAGGAGATATAGCTGAGAGTCAAGGAATGAGGAGAGGAATCCAAAATCTTAATGTCTTCATTAGAGCTTTCAGCAGCTTCACTGAATGTAGTCATAATGTTGCTGATTCAAAATTAATGCCATGTCACAATGTCACACATATTAAGGTCCCTTTAAGTTTTATTACTGATTGCAATAGGAGGAAAACTTATTTAGATTGTTTTTCTGCTTTATTTAATAATGAGAAGTTNATTAGTAATTTTTAATCAGAATTGGATGAGAAAATTCTAATAAAATGAAGCGATTTAAACTTGATTGAAAGGAACAAAAAAATTACCAAAATTTTTAATGAAGGAATTCAAAATCAAAAGAAGATTTAATTATTTAAAGTTTTGCTGCATCCCTGAATATGCGTACTTCAATATATGGAGTCTGGCCTTCAAGGTGGATGGATAAAAAATATTGATAAGATTTTGTGGATGATACAACAACAATTCTGTAATAAGACCTAAATGAGCCTTAAGGGAAGATGAAATTGCTCTCCAAAAGCATCAACGAATTGATTGCAACACACACCTAAAGAATCACAAATGATAAATGATAATTTATGATAATTTATTATTATTATTTTTGAATAAAAATCAAATGATATTATAATTAATATAACTCCAAAATCAGCATATGATATGATAATCCAAATGTAAGTTCAAATAATTTAATTGAAAATAGATCTAAATGAAAATACAATGAAAATATAAATAATACATTAAGCGAGAACAAAAAATTATGAAAGGCTCATCAAGCACTTCGCTGTTTTTATATAGAAAGCCATCAATTCTAAAAGTATTATATCGAATAGGTAGATTTTGGGTAAAGATTTAGGGTACTGTTCAAGTTTAAGATTTTGATGTAAAACAGAAATAACAATCATATAAGTGCTTCAATTGAAAACAACTTGGTGACTCTAGTATTGATCATCCTATCATCAGTCATGGATCTGAGATGTAAGGCAGTACTAATACACACACAGTAAAGGACTTTTGGAAGAATGAAATCATGAGATAGCTTTAGAGATTGCATGAGATTACACAGCTCTCCTTTGCTACAAATGCGGTAGCCTTCACGCTTAAACAATTCTCTGAATTAATGGCAGAAGTGCTAGTTATTTATGCTAAGTTACCATTTTCCCTTATATGGATATATGACATTTGTGGTGATGAATGCTTCTGATTGATTAGAGTTCCCATTGTGAAATTACTGCAGCTGCATTCGCTAGTAAATATCATTGCTAATGACATTATGCTATTTCATTGAAGCTCATCAAATGATTTTCTTATCGATATCCCACCTATTCATTGATAGAAAGGTTTTAGAGCTCTCTTTCTTTTATCCATCCATTACACTACTAATGAAGCTACCTACTTTCTCATAGCTATTATTTTCCTTGCTCAACAGAGCATATTACCAATCTGTAGATTTGATCCATGAACTGAGCAATTCTATCTGTTCATGATTTAAAATATAAACATAAATTATCAATCATCTTTCCATTCTCATCAACGGTTACAAATTCAAAAAAAACTCTAGTTCACTTCATCCTCATAAAGTTTGTTGGACATCCCAAGCCACTTGTGACTAAGAACTATAATTGAACCTACTAATCTTCTTGTCCATCTCTTCATTTATTACAAGGATCTTCAAAAAGTTAATATAATTTTATGAATGACCTCCAAACATTTACACGCCATTACTGATGTTAAGTGGTTGGGATCTTCTTGTCAAATTAGTACAGATTCAACTCATTTACCACTAAGTCATTCTACTTGTTTAATTTTTACTCAAGATTATAGAAGAATGAGTCTGGAAAACAATATATCAATTTCTATTTATCATTAAAATTGTAAGCTTTAAAACCATCCAAATCAAATGCAAAATTTTGATCCAGAATTATAATTAGGTTTGAACATTTTGCATCATTCAAATACTAACCTGGTATGATTCAACATGTAATATAATTTCACTCAGAGCCATGAATTGGGCAATCCTACAAAGTAACTCGACCAAACCCTAGCCTTTTTTCGAATCTAGTTCTTTGAGATATAGGAGATATAGCTGAGAGTCAAGGAATGAGGAGAGGAATCCAAAATCTTAATGTCTTCATTAGAGCTTTCAGCAGCTTCACTGAATGTAGTCATAATGTTGCTGATTCAAAATTAATGCCATGTCACAATGTCACACATATTAAGGTCCCTTTAAGTTTTATTACTGATTGCAATAGGAGGAAAACTTATTTAGATTGTTTTTCTGCTTTATTTAATAATGAGAAGTTAAGAATTAAATTAATTTTCAAGCATGACTGATTTCAAAACTATGCAACTTGTGTCGAATGTTAAATACCATCAAAACTAAAGGTAACTAAGTAGCAATTTATGTTTTAGGATAGTTTTATCATATCTTCAATGATGAATTGTCCTTATGTATTATATGTTCAACTTTTTGATTACATTTGCTTTGATAACTGATATGATCCCTCTAGAAACACACACTTATACATACTTAATGTGCCGTAGAACACCAATACTATATTTAATCTTAATTTTTCTGACAAAGTATTCCTTACAGATATGTCTCCGAATTATTGCATAAATGATTGCACTATTGTGCTCTTATTATTTTGGAACGAAGGAATTCCGAATGAAACGTATGTTATAATGCAATATGCTAAATTTATCAAGACAGCTTCTCTTATTCATCAGGAAAATAGAAAGTTTAACTTAAAACCTCAACTGTCGCATGTGCATACAGCAGCATAAAACAAGATTAACAAGCCTAAAACGAGGTTTATCTTAAGTACAGTCTTATATTATGTAATCACTTACAGAATGGATCGCAATTTGTTAAACAGATCTTTTCATGGTACCAACAATATGTAAGGTAGAAACTCTAGCTATTCATATACAATACTTACATGAAAATGCCCATTTATCACAGATGAATGAAGACTTGCTATCATAAAATACACTGTAGATTTAACACCAATTTGATGCATCATGTAGCAATTAAACACAATCAGCAGTTTACATACTTATCAGAATACTTAGTAGTGGCATCAATATAATAAGGTAAATTATATTCCAAAATATTTCGATGTGTTTTTGAGAATTAGTTTAATGTATTGCTCTTAGAATAATATTAGAAGGGCAACACTCAATAATCATTTTCGCTGTTTATAAATTTGGAATCAGCCTGTAAAATGAGCGATTATGATCAAAGGTAAACAAGAAAGCTAGTTAAATAAAATAAGTTTCATTATTTTGTCAATCTCTAAATAAATAAATTCAAATTTAGGAACTTCTTCATGATGATCCTGATCTGAATATTTAATAATAGAAAGGGTAATAATTACATTACTCCTATTTGGAGACATGCTTTCCAAACTTTATATTACGGATTAAGAAGCAAAATCAAGTAGAGGGATCAGTTCTATCAAAGTAATTGATTTTTAGAAGCAATCTAGATCTTTGTTTAAGCCTAATTCAAATTGGCTAGTTTCAGACTTCGATTCTAATCCGACTTTTTAAGTGCAATGGAAATTTTAATTATGATTGAAGTAATCGTTAAAGAAAAGTCAATTAATACCATAAATTAAATCCTTAAATTTATATTTTTATAAGCTATTGCCAAATATTTCTCTAAAAATAAAAAATTTGGTTTGATTAAACAACCATAAAAGTTGTTTCATAATTCTAAATCCTAAAATTTAGTCTTCTAAGCCAAGAATCTTGTTTTAACTCCAGCAAACCTAGTTTCATAAACTCAAGCGCATCCTTTAAATATTTTCTATGCAAAACTTCATCGCCTCAATATACATGTAGTTTGGTAAATTAACCAACCAATTAATACCCTAACTAAATGCTTACCTATAAGACTGAGATATGAACATGATTCAGTTATAGATGTGGATATTCTAATGCTTTGAACATTTGTTACTAATATTATTGAGAAAGTTGGTTTGTATGTAATGTCTATAAATTTTGCCATTAAAGTACTTAAACTAATTGGTTATATGAGGGAAAATCGATTTCTATATGATTTAAACTCGTTGTCTTACCTGAGAGTCAATGGCACCTAAAGAAAAGGTCAACTCAAAAACTTTCAAATGCTCATATTATTAATACAAATTGTCCTAAAAAGACAAAAGTAGTTGAAGTCAGGCACTGGAATTGATATTTATAGTAGCGCTTGGAAACTTTGTATCAGTGCTGTTTTAACATCTTAAATTTTTCTAAAAAAAATCAAATTGCAGCTTTCCATTAAATTTCTCATTCACAACATATTAATTCATTAACTAATTCATTATTTATGATGTACCCTTTACTTCAACTAAATATACTTCTTCTATTCCCTAAGATAGATTCAGCAGCTCTTAAACTCCTAAATTGCAATATGTTCGATCGATGTTCCTTTTTGGAATACTTTATAGAATGTGCAGGCTATCTACTAATTGCTAATAATATGAGTTGCCCATAATTCAAGCTTTTCAGACCATTGAAACATCTGAGGATGTTACATATTATGTCTTAATTATAGAACTCTTTCAAGACAGTTAAGTATGTATGTAAAAAATTTATAGATTGATTAAAATATTGTATATCCCAGCAATCTTAAATGATCGATTTGTGAATGCAGTTCCATAACTGTCCTGATAGTAATATATGTGAGTCATATATGACTATAATGCTGCCTTCCTTGATGTCTGGCTTCATGGGAGATGTAAACAATTTCTACTACCTATTTCATCTTACATTCAGTTAATGTCATCATCTATCTTGATAGCTACTTTTTATCAAAAGCTATAATATTTCCCACCTTGATGCTCACTGCATAATCAGATACATAGAATTAAGATTCCATTCTTAATATAAGATTATCTTAATAATCATATATAAAAACATTAAACAGGATTCATCATTGGACTAGGAACTTAATTAAACATATTTATGATACTTAAATGGATCAAAAACATCAAAGGCAAGGATAATAGGATGCTAATCTTCATTGATTTCTCAAGTTGGGTTTGGGGTTGGGTTTGGGTTTGGGTTTGGGTTTGGGGTTTGGGGTTTTGGGTTTGGGTTTGGGTTTGGGTTTGGG